TCCACATTGGTATGTCCGATTGACACCAAGCTTGGGTCGATAGTTCCCCATGTCTTCCTTAGGCATCTTGCACAATTTCAGGCCATCACCACTAGGTGGTGCTCTTTAAAATGAAGAAGTTTATATCTCTGCAACGGCACGTGTGATTAAAATGAAAATTGGTACGATGCTTGCCCATGACTCCCTGAGGCTCGCTAAAAAAAAAAAACTATCCACCACTAGGTGGCGTTCTGGTGGCATGGTAAATCACTGTGTGGAGAACATAATAGTTATGAGTATGAAATTCACAGGGCACGTGTAGAGTGGTGCCTGAAGCTCACATACCGAAAATCGTGTTTCTCGTGTTTGTAGCGCCCCCCCAGCGCCACGTTTCACCGATATGTATGAAACTCGGTAGGCACGTGTAACATGTCGAGACGTACAAAAAAGCCTCTTGGACCCATACCCCAAACCCCACGGGAAGTCGGCCATTTTTGATTTTGATTCTCACTTTCGGCGAACTTTTCACGTTGTATTTGAACGAACTCCTCATAGGGAATTTATAGGATCTGCATCAAAATTGGTCAGTACAGTCAAAAAATGGTGCTGATTAAAAGTTGTGCTATTTGTGCATGTACATTAAAGGGCGTGTCCGTGGCGTGGCATCAAAGTCAGCCATTTTGAATTCTGTGCTCATTTTCTGTGATTTTTCGTGTTGTAGTTGAACAAACTCCTCCTAGGGAATTTATCTGATCTACTTCAAAATTTGTCAGTACAGTCAAAAAACGGTGCTGATCAAAAGTTGTGCTATTTGTGCATGTACGTTGAAGGGCGTGTCGTTGGCCTGCGTCAAAATTGGCCATTTTGAATTCCGTGGTCATTTTCGGTGAATTTTTTGCCTTGTAGTTGAACGAACTCCTCCTAGGGAATTTATCTGATCTGCTTCAAAATTTGTCAGTACAGTCAAAAAATGGTGCTGATTAAAAGTTGTGCTATTTGTGCATGTACGTTGAAGGGCGTGTCGTTGGCCTGCGTCAAAGATGGCTATTTTGAATTCCGTGGTCATTTTCGGTGAATTTTTTGCCTTGTACTTGAATGAACTCCTCCTAGGGAATTTATCGGATTTGCTTCAAAATTGGTCAGTACAGTCAAAAAATGGTGCTGATTAAAAGTTATGCTATTTGTGACTGTACGTTGAAGGGCGTGTCCGTGACGTGCCCTTAAAGTTGGCCAGGTTGAATCGAATGTCAAACTGTGGTACCATTTCCGGCATTACTCTGACTTCCAGCTTTTTTTTGTGTTGTATTTGAACAAACTCCTCCTAGAGAATTTGTCGTATCTGCATCAAAATTGGTCAGTACAGTCAAAAAACATTGCTGATTAAAAGTTGTGCTATTTGTGCATGTACATTAAAGGGCGTGTCCGTGGCATGGCATCAAAGTCAGCCATTTTGAATTCTGTGCTCATTTTCTGTGATTTTTCGTGTTGTAGTTGAACGAACTCCTCCTAGGGAATTTATCTGATCTACTTCAAAATTTGTCAGTACAGTCAAAAAATGGTGCTGATTAAAAGTTGTGCTATTTGTGCATGTACGTTGAAGGGCGTGTCGTTGGCCTGCGTCAAAGTTGGCCATTTTGAATTCCATAGTCATTTTCGGTGAATTTTTTGCCTTATATTTGAAAGAACTCCTGCTAGGGAATTTATCGGATCTGCTTCAAAATTGGTCAGTACAGTCAAAAAATGGTGCTGATTAAAAGTTGTGCTATTTGAGACTGTATGTTGAAGGGCGTGTCGTTGGCCTGCGTCAAAGGTGGCCATTTTGAATTCCATAGTCATTTTCTGTGAATTTTTTGCCTTGTATTTGAAAGAACTCCTCCTAGGGAATTTATCTGATCTGCTTCAAAATTTGTCAGTACAGTCAAAAAATGGTGCTGATTAAAAGTTGTGCTATTTGTGCATGTACGTTGAAGGGTGTGTCGTTGGCCTGCGTCAAAGATGGCCACTTTGAATTCCGTGGTCATTTTCGATGAATTTTTTGCCTTGTACTTGAACGAACTCCTCCTAGGGAATTTATCGGATCTACTTCAAAATTGGTCAGTACAGTCAAAAAATGGTGCTGATTAAAAGTTGTGCTATTTGAGACTGTATGTTGAAGGGCGTGTGTCAAAATTGGCCATTGTAAATTCAGTGGTCTTGTATTTGAACAAATTTGTGACTGTATGTTAAACCGCGTGCCAGTGACGACTTGTCAAATTCAGCCGATTCGCCATAAAACAGTACTCATAACTTCAGTGTGCAATGTCCAATCTCCAATAAATTTCATAAATTCTGTAACAGTCTCGCCCTGAACACGTCCTCATAACTTCAGCGTACGTGGTCCAATCTCAATGCCCTGAACACGTCTATGTGATAATATTCAGACATAGTGATAGCACTACCTACTGGCAACAGGAAGTAAGCGCTGCATGGCGATTTTGAGCTGATTAACGGCAGATTTTCATGTTGTGGTCCGCACGTGTTACGACAGCACATGACGCAGCCGCAGCACACCCCGAGTCGTGGGGAGTGCGAGGTCCCGCCTTATGCTGCTTGCAGCTTTAATTAGGGACCTCGTAAGCGACTGCTGGAGGTCCCTATTGTTTTTGCTCCGTTTCTTACCTATTATTAGGGACCGAGCCAGCGACCGGCAAGGTCCCTATTGTTTTTGCTTGATTTCTTCTTCTTACCTATTATTAGGGATCGAGCACTGACCAGTGCAAGACCCTATTGTTCCTTAAGGAATTATTAGGGACCTCGCAAGCGACCGCTGGAGGTCCCTATTGTTTTTGCTTCGTTTCTTCTTCCCTATTATTAGGGACCGAGCCAGCGACCGGCAAGGTCCCTATTGTTTTTGCTTGCTTTCTTCTTCTTACCTATTATTATTTTTAGCCCCCTTTCACTGCATTTTTGCCCCCCTGAACATATATACGAAAAGTCAATTTTATTTGGCAAAGTTGTCAGGCCTGGTGAAAATGGGGATATTCTATGGGTCGCTTTCGTGTTGGCCACTAGCTGGCGCTAGTATCATAAAAAATGCATTTATGCTAATAACTTCTGCATAGTTTGCCGCACATTCAAAAACCTTGTATCCACGCGTTCGGTGAATGGAGCTGAATCTCCCCATATAGGCCACGCCCACTTCCGCCTATAATTCTTATCCGCTGGAGCGCGAAATGTCCATAAACTACTTTTCCGTGTTCCCCCCATGCGCTTTGTCCGATTCCGCAAAAAATTACACACTAGGTGGCGCTCTTTAAAATGAAGAATTTTTTATCTCTTCAACGGTATGTGTGATTAAGATGAAACTTGGTACGATGCTTCCCCATGGCTCCCTGAGGCTCCCTTTAAAAGGACAAAAAAAATACGCCACTAGGTGGCGCTCTTTTGGCATGATAAATCACTGTGCGGAGACCGTAATAGTTATGAATATGAAATTCACAGGGTACGTGTACAGTAGTACCTGAAGCTCACATACCAAAAATCATGTTTGTCGTGTGTGTAGCGCCCCCTACAGGATAAAAAAACAGCAGCCCCGGCGCCACGTTTCACCAATATGTACGAAACTCGGTAGGCACGTGTGACGTACAAAAAAGCCTCTTGGACCCATACCCGAAACCCCACAGAAAGTCGGCCATTTTGATTTTGATTTTCACTTTCGGCTAACTTTTCGCGTTGTATTTGAACGAACTCCTCCTAGGGAATTTATCGGATCTGCTTCAAAATTTGTGAGTACAGTCAAAAAATGGTTCTGATTAAAAGTTGTGCTATTTGTGCATGTACGTTGAAGGGCGTGTCCATGGCGTGCCCTCAAAGTTGGCCATAGTGAATTCCGTGCACATTTTCGGTGAATTTTTCGCCTTGTATTTGAACGAACTCCTCCTAGGGAATTTATCGGATCTGCTTCAAAATTGGTCAGTACAGTCAAAAAATGGTGCTGATTAAAAGTTGTGCTATTTGTGCATGTACATTAAAAGGCGTGTCCGTGGCGTGCTCTCAAAGTTGGTCAGGTTGAATCAAATGTCAAGCTATGATGCTATTTCCGGCATTTAAGGGCTTCTGTTTTAACTAACTCCTCCTACACATTTTATCAGATTGACTTCAAATTCGATCACTTCAATCTACAAACATTGGTTATCAAAAGTTGTGCTATTTTTGACTGTATGTTTAACTGTGTGCCCGTGACGACGTGTCGAATTCCACCGATTGGCCATCAAACAGATAGTACTCATATCTTCAGTGTACAGTCCCACCCTGAACACGTCCTCATAACTTCAGCGTACATGATCCAATCTCAATGAAACTTCACGTGTTTGATAACAGTCCCACCCTGAACACGTCTACATGACAATATTCAGACATAGTGATAGCGCCACATACTGGTAACAGGAAGTACCATTTTATACTTTCATGTTCTACTCCTCGCAGGATGATCAGATCCAGCTGAAATGTACTTATAAAATGCAAAACACATTGTTGATGATATGTGTTGACTGTGGTGAGGGGCGTGTCTGTGGGGTGGCGGGAAATTTTGATGGACCGCCACAAAACACGAATTCGCTATAACTTGAGTGTACATTGTCCAATCGGCTCCACACTTCAAATGCTTGATAACAGTCCCGCCCTGAACACGTGTACAGGACAATATTCAGACATAGTGATAGCGCCACCTACTGGCAACAGGAAGTAAGCGCCGCGTGGCGATTTTGAGCCGATTAACGGCAGATTTTCATGTTGTGGCCCGCACGCGTTACGTCGGCACGCGACGCGGCCGCAGCACGCCCCGAGTTGCGTGGAGTGCGAGGTCCCGCCCAACGCTGCTTGCAGCTTTAATTTTGTATAATCTTTTGATAAATATAAACTTAATAAACTTAACCAAAATTAATTGATTACACTAATACAGTTAAACCACTGTTGTACCAACAATTGGTACCGCTGTGATTTATCATAGCAACCCTATAAGAGCTAATCTACTCTGCACTGACCGGTGATCTTGGGGATGCCTTCCAGGGTGGGTACAGGGAAAGTGAGGATGATGCCTTGGCTGGTCCCCACCCAGAGCAGGCCCTGGCAGATCAGCAAGCTGGAGACATAAACTTGACCTGAAACAAACAGACATTCAACCAATAATATGCCCACCATCACTGCTATCACAATCTCATGTAGTCTGTGGATCGCCGTCTCCCATAACCTGGACATTTCAGTCACTCAGCAGCTCAGAAAGGTTGTTGAAAATACAGACTAAGCAGATGGTAGTAACAACAAAATATTAGTTACATTGACAAGGAAAAGTTCTGACCATTAAGGTCAGTAGAAACCATTTGAAATCAAAGATGGCGCAGGTTATCATCCTCATTCACTTACTGAATAAACTGTTGTCTCATTTATATGTCTTTTAGCTACCAGTGAGAGTGCTTTGTTGCTGAATTACACTGCAGTCACTAAAGAAATGAGTCCTGAAACCTGGAACTGAGTTAGCATTTTAGCCCATCTGGTTCAATTTCCTCAGTCAGTGGGTTTTTTGAATGGGTTTTTGCTCAGATGTCTGTTGTTTACACAAGCTAACCTTAACCCTAACCCTTGTTCTACAGCATAAAATATTTTCATAAATACCCAATTCTGAAGCTTTTACGTGTCTTGAAAAAGGCTGTTGCTTACAAGTGGCTAAATGAGACTACAGAGGTTGACTGTGGGTTAGACTTATCTACTCAATAGTCCACCTTTACAGGCTTGCTGTGTTTATACTTGCACTACTTTTCTCTTGCAAACTCAAACTTGTAGATTTTAATGACAAGGTTTAATTACAAGTTGGAAGTTTGGTGGTGGTGACATTGAAGTAGTTGGTGTGCCAAACGTTGCTACTTCTGGCGTTCACATTTACGCTTCAGAAATCCTAAAATTGTTCAAAGGTTTTCATTTGAATTTTTTTTTTTTTATTTGATCGAAGATTATTTTGCTTAGCAAAACATGTATCATAAACCTTTGTTTACCACAGAGCTTATTTTATGCAGTAACGGATGGAAAAACCCCATTGGATTTTTGTGGAGGGAACCAGATTGATGCTAACTTGCTGGTTAGACTACAAAAAAAATCTCTGCAGCACGTTTTTTACGTTTATCAGCACAATACACTATGCATCTGATTCATCTTGTAACATATTGTTTAGCCTTGCCTGGTGTCAGATGGGCAGCGTGGGTGGAGACATTGACTTCCTGCAGTGGTTCCAAGGTCTCGGTGTGAAACAGGTGAATAGAGGAGCCGTCAGTGAAGGCCATCCAAACCCCCCCACCTGAACGGACCATGTGGCTAACACTGCAGCCTGGATCAGAGTGGGCTTCGAAACTCTACAGTACAGAGAAAGACAGAGTCACAGTCTATAAATCATGTGTCAGCTACAAAGCCTATGACATAGGCTTCTTTAGAATTTGTGTCATATTGGTCATTTAGAGCAGATATTCTTTGCAAGCACATGAATTATATTTTGTAGAGACATTTTTACCAAGCAAAAATCTGCTCTGTGCTCAATCAGTTTGTTTGTGTGTTTATTATTATCCATATAAACAGCAAATCAGTATTATTTGATTTCTAAAGCTCCCTTTTTTTCTCTCCTTTCTTTTCTGGCACCCAATTTATGTGCAGGTCTTTCCCTGGCAAGGAAATTCTAGTAATTCTACAAGCTAGTAAATAGTTTAGATCATGAGGCAACCTGTGGCTGGTAAATAAAGCAAACACGGAAGTGCAGTTCCTCTAACGGGCACTTGTGGCTGGCTCCAGAAGTTGTTGACAGCAGAACTAAACATATTTACAGCCTGGTACAAAAAACGGTAACCACTGAACCATTGTGCTGCCTCATTGTACCTAAAGTCTCAAAGATGTTAGAAAAAAATGACCCACTACATAGGTATGTCAGTGTAACTGTGTGCAAGGTCCTTCTTTTATTCAAATTCATCCACTCAATAGCTTTAGCATTTTACGCACATGTTTATATTCCAGCAGTTTCACAAAGTCTTATCAAAGCAGTGAGGTCACAAGCTCAACAAAAGCCCAAAGCTCAATCACACACACATATACATCAATGAGTGAACACATTCCTAAGACCGAGCTGCAGACATCAGCGAGGAAATTGAGGAAGAAGAGTCATGCTGCCTCTGGCAGCCTTTTAGCTGTCAGTCAAGCTCACATACAACAGGTGCCAGAGTCCCTGAGGACTAACCTCTACATACACTTCCCGTGCACACCTGATGCCAGACACAGGTCTATCAGGAGACAGCACAGTGGAGAATTACAGCTGACAGCCTGTGATTGCTGGCTGTGGTCGGGTGAGAATTCACATTCATTATTATAGAGGCAGACATAATGCAGGCTGAATCCAACTCCATTACATGTGGCATTTTAACCTAATTTTTTATGTATTTAGTTATTTTTTGGGGGCTTTTATTGGATAGTGGCAGCCAAAGACAGACAGGAAAGGGAGGCAGAAAGAGGGGGGATGACACGCAGCAAAGGGCCGCAGGTCCCTGACCACGGATCTTTGAGTAAAGAGACCAGTAAAGATCTCCAGCTCCAGGCCACATAGCACTGTGACTAGTGCGGGTTTGGCATTCAGGTGGCCCTATGCTGTATGCAGCAACCTCACTGCCGGATTGTCTGTAAAGGATAAGTTCACAATTTTATGCCCATCTGAACATTGAAACTTGTGCGCCTGGCTCAAAGGTAGAGCGGGTCATCCACTAATCGTAAAGTTGGCGGTTCAATCCCCAGTTCCTCTCGCTGGATGTCGAAGTGTCCTTCAGCAAGACACTAAACCCCAAATTGCTCCCGATGCTGTGCATTGGTGGGTGTATGAGTGTATTGGCCCCAAACACCTCAGAGACTCACTGTCTAAAGATATAGTTACTCTAGATGGTATTACCTTGGCCTCCAACACCACTGTCAGGAATCTTGGAGTTATCTTCGATCAGGATATGTCCTTTAATTGCCACATAAAGCAAACCTCCATGGCTGCCTTTTTTCATTTACGTAACATTACAAAAATTTGACACATCCTGTCACAGACAGATGCAGAAAAACTAGTCCATGCATTTGTTACTTCTAGGCTGGATTACTGCAACTCCTTATTATCAGGTTGCCCCAATAAGTCCATTAAGACACTCCAATTAATTCAGAACACTGCAGAATGAGTACTGACATGAACTAAGACAATAGATCATATTTCTCCTGTGTTAGCATCTCTGCACTGGCTCCTTGTAAAATTCAGAATATAATTTAAAATCCTCCTCCTCACCAACAAAGCTCTTCATGGTCAGGCCCCTTCATATCTTAAGGAGCTCATAGTACTGTATTACCCCCCTAGAACACTGCTTTCCTGAGCACTGACCATGCAAAGGCCCTATTGTGTCTGTTATTATTATTATTTTTTTGTCCATTTAATCGCATTTTTGTATGCTTTCCCATGCTCGACAGCTCAAGAAACTTTGCACAAAATTAAACGCATGTACGCATGTGTATCATACTCATACAAGCAAAAAAGCCTCTTGGAGCCATACCCAAAACTAAACAGGAAGTCGGCCACTTTGGATTTTGTGGTGATTTCTGCTGATTTTTGGCGTTGTAATTGAACAAACTCTTCCTAGGGAATTGATCGGATCGACCTCAAATTTCGTCACATTTGGACACAGCCATCTTAAGACATTTATGATTAAAAGTACGACATTCAGTCGAACAGCGTGGACAGGGCATGGTGTCCCGTTGTGTCCAATTTCGAACCTTGGCCATGAAAACAGAAAGTTGTCATTACTTCTGCGTACATGATCCGATCGCAACGAAACGTCATATGTTTGATTACAGTCCCGCCCTGAACACATCTATGTCATAATGTTCACTAATAGTGAGAGCGCCACCTAGTGGTGAAAGGAAATGTCATTTTTATACTTTTATGTATATCTTCAAGCAGATTTACCAGATCCAGCTGAAATTCTGTCTGAACTCCCTTAGGATGATGACCATGACAGCTTGTGAATCTGAAGAATTTTTAAAGAACCACATTACCTTTGTGACATGCCTGAAACCTCATGAAACTTTGCACAGAATTCAGTTGTGGCTAAGGCTAACGTATTGTCTTGGTCCCGTAGATGGGGCATCACAAAATGGCTTAGCCACACCCCTCCAGAATCAGCCCCGAAGACACGTACGACCGACATTTATGTTTCATGATCGGACAAGCAGAAAAGCTTCTTGGACCCATAACCCAAAACAACAGAAGGTCAGCCATTGTGAATTTCATGGTCATTTTCGGCAATTTGCACACGTTGTATTTGAACAAATTCCTCATAGGGAATGAATCGGATCAACTTCAAATTTAATCAGCGCAATCTAAAGACATTCATGATAAAAAGTTGTGAAATCTATGACATTCCATCAAACGGCGTGCCCGTGGCGTGGTGTCCAATTTCGACGATTCGCCATTAAATAGGAAGTTGTCATAACGTCAGTGTATATGGTCCAATCTCCCTGAAACTTCACAAGTTTGATAAGAGTCCCATCCTGAACACGTCCTTCTGTCTTTGCCTCTGTGTCTCTGTCTCTGTCTCTCTCTCTCTCTCTCTCACTCACCCCAACTGGTCGAGGCCACCCACCTCGAGCTGGGGTCCTTCCAAGATTTCTGCCTCTTTAAAGGACGTTTTTCCTTGCCACCGTCGTCAAGTGCTTGCTCATGGTGGGAACTGTTGGGTCTCTGTAAATAATTTTATAAGGAGTATGGTCTAGACCTGCTCTATTTGAAAAGTGTCCTGAGATGACTTCTGTTATGAATTGGTGCTATGCAAATACAATTTCATTTAATTTCTTGAATTGAGTGTGCATGAATGATTAGTTTCCATTATGGTGAGCAGTTGGCACCTTGCATGTCAGCCACTGCCATCAGTATATGAATGTGTGTGAATGGGGTGAGTGTGGCATGTAGTGTACAGCGCATTGAGTGGTCCAAAGACTAGGAAGGCGCTATATAAGTACAGTTAGTTTACCACCTTTTATATGTCGATGATCTGGCATTGATAGTCACAAGAAGGGACTACTACTGCTGAAAATATGTCTCAAGCCTGAAACGACAATGAAAACTGTCTGTTAACCCTGCCAGGACTGCTAAGTACTCCAAACCAATGTGTTTCAGCAAAGTTTCTGGACAAGCTTAAAAATTAATTTTAAATTTGCTACTGTCCTGTCTATACTTCCTGGTTTAAAATCTGGCACAACTGAATTTGTAGTTGGCTAGCCCTGCTGTAACCAATCCACTGACAGGCTTAATCTTTTTAAGAAATAATTTTCCAGGACTTTTCCAGAACATTTCACAGTTTTTCTTAACAATACAGCACTTGCTCACAAATGGTGCCATAGGTGGTCATTGTTTAAGGGATACGTACACCTTTCGTGGCATACTTGACTCTTTCCACTTTTGAATAGACTATAGTTTTCCTTTTACCGTAAAATTATTATAATTTGGCCACAGCAGAAGCTAAAATACAATAAAACATTTCCAGCACAATATAGGTTATTTCCAGGATATTTGGTCACTTTAATCAATTTCCAGGTGATTCCATGACTGAAAAACTAGTCTCTAAATGGAAACCCTGCACTGAAGTACTTGCAAATGTGCATTACAGCAGCAAGTTCTTATTTTACATTAATGTACAGACCATCTCCCATTACAATGTCCTGGAAGCTTGTTGTTAGCAGCACACTGCCTGTATAAATCATTATTTATGACATTTTATATAAAACACAGATATCAAATGTGTTGAAATTATGTCTGGGCTTTACCAACACTGTGTGAATGTGTGTGAAAGGGCAAATGTGGCATGTAGTGTGAAATCACTTTGAGTGGTCTAAAGACTAGAAAGTCGCTATACAAGTACAAGTCCATTTACTATTTACCATTTAGACCACATTTTGCCTACCAATGCAATATGACTTCAGAGAAATACCCTTAATATTTAAACTGTCCAGCTGTTGTTGATTAAATGGCGTACCTGTGTGTGAAGACTGGATCCTTGGATCACTGTGACTTGGTTGGCACAGCTGGCCCATACGGCATCTTCAAGTGTCAGCAGACTGCCGACTGGCTCAGAGCCCAGAGACACCAGCTTGCACGAGTCCACATCCCACAGTCTCTCTGAAAGGAATGGCACCTATTGTTACACCTACTGCAGTATAATATTGTAAATCTAGACCCAACGTTAGTGTGGTAGGGGTTCTTCAGTGAGCACTCACCTCCAGTTCTTCTGTGGTACACAGCTACTTTGCCGCTAGCCAGTCCAGCGAAGAGGAAGGACAGCGAGTGTTTGAGGCAGAGGACTGGACAGCTGTCGAGGTTGACCAGGGTCAGCAGACACTGAACAGCTGTGTCCACACTGCTAAACACATGGATGCTGGGAAGACGAAGAGAAACACTGCACTGAAAAGTAAAATACTACACATAAAATGAAAGCTTATCAACACCTCTAACATTCTCTAAATAACACGTTTAATCTGTTTGTTTAATCTGTACATAACAGGTGACTGCACCAGATAAAAAGTCACAATATCTGTCCCTCAGTCAGTTTGTGTCCACAGATGGAGACACTGAGCTAGTGGAAATGACTGACCTGCTGTCCTGCAGGCCAACGCAAATGATGTTTCCTATCTTGGCTGCAGTATGAGCCTTCTTTGCCTCCTTCTCTGTGCTGGGACATAGCTCTTTAACATACTCCAGACAGAGCACTGGGGCCCTCATTGGGACAGTCTTGACAAGTCGAGGGGTGGCACGGTTCAGGGAAAAGATGTCCACTTGGCCATGATTGGAGGTGCCTCCTCCAGCAGCAACCTGAACACCATAAAAACAAAAAGAGGATCCAGTTTATCCCTCTTATCTTAAATGACATTGCACACAAAATGAACAGAAGCGTTCAAATCAGCAGAGAAAAATTGTGTGAAAAGAAACAAATACATACAGAAAACAAAATAAAGAGTTTGACACTGTCAAAGCAAACCTCCTAGAGACTAGGATGTTGTTGGTTTGGTTACCCATCTGAAATCTATAGGTCAACTACCAGTCGCCGTTAGCAATACTGTAGCTAACTATACTCACCCAGAGGTAACCCTGTGGTAAGGACGTACTGGCAGTGCAGAAACCAAGCAGGTTGGACTGAGATGGACTGTGGAGAGCAGCCTCCAGCTACACAAACACAAAGAGACAAGGGGCGGCTGTGGCTCAGAGGAAGAGGGGCTCGTCCCCTAATCGGAAGGTTATTGGTTCGATCCCCGGCCCCTGGTGCCACATGTTAAAGTATCCTTGAGCAAGATACTTAACCCCGAATTGCTCCCGATGCCGTGCATTGGTGTATGAATGAGTTAGTTTCTGTTCAATGGGCTTTACCATCACTTAGTGAATGTGTGTGTGCCACTAGAAAGGCACTATACAAGCACAGGTCCATTTACCATTTACATGGTTCATTGACCCATGTCAGCCGTAACTATTTATACTTGCACGTGGTGGGTCGCGACACTAGTTGCAGTCTTCTCCTGAACAGAGGTGTCGGAACTGAGGAAAGGCTACCGACTTTGCTATTCCTACGCACTAGAAGAAGAAGGAAAAAGGTAAACAATGGCAGACCTCTTTTTTGATTTTCCAAATCGGTCGCGAAGGTTCCTCCAAATTTTCTGGCATATAGCCTCCTCTTTTCCAATTCTGGCACCTCTGGGCATCTCTGTGTTCCTTCATCGAAGGATCGTACAGATGCCTGTAGAGGCGCACTCTACAAACCTGAAGACCTCGCGCGACCGGGCCTAAATCTTACGTATTCATATTATGATGTCGCGCGACAGGTCGGGAATGGCAAGTGTATAATAGCCTTTAGTCACCCTAGCAGAATTACCCCCATTTATTCAATTCAATTCAATTCAATTCAATTCAATTCAATTCAATTTTATTTGTATAGCGCCAATTCATAACAGAAGTTATCTCAGGACACTTTTCAAATAGAGCAGGTCAAGACCGAACTCCTTATAACATTTACAGAGACCCAACAGTACCACCATGAGCAAGCACTTGGCGACGGGGGCAAGGAAAAACTGCCTTTTAAGAGGCAGAAACCTAGGACGGACCCTTCGGCTCTAGGTGGGTGGTCGTCTGCCTCGACCAGTTGGGGTGAGAGAGAGAGAGAGAGAGAGAGAGAAACAGACAAACGGTAAATGGACCTGTACTTGAGAAGTACATTTACCATTTACCTGTCTGTCTGTCTGTCTAGCGTTTTTTCTCGTCTTACAACCACTCAAAGCACTTTCACACTACGTGCCACATTCACACACATTCACTCAGTGATGGATGGAAAAGCCCATCGAACAGAGTCTAACTCATTCATACACATTCACGATGCCCGCATCGGGAGCAATTTGGGGTTCAGTATCTTGCTCAAGGATATTTCGACATGTGGCAGGAGGAGCTGGGGATCAAACCAACAACCTTCCGATTAGGGGACGACCCGCTCTGCCTCTGTGCCACAGCCACCCACAAGTGCACAGCAACAGTAGCAACAACTACACTAATAGTAGTGACTGATGTTGATGAACATGAGGAAGATGATGACGATGACAACAGCAACGATGGGGGACAATGAGCAGTGACAATTGCAATAATAGTAACTGTGGTAATAATAATATTAATAATAATAACAATAATATCAGTGATATAAGCAATGGCAGTCAAGCAGGACCATAGCAGGAGGCTCCACCAGGATCCATGAGAACCTGCGAGACGAGAAAGCACAAGAACTCTGGGGAAGAAGTGAAGTTAGTAACATGCATTAATGGGACATGAATGTGTGCAGAAAGAGAGAGAGAGGAAGAGAGGAGCTCAGTGCATCATGGGAAATCCCCTGACAGTCTAGGCCTATAGCAGCATAACTAAGGGATGGTTCAGGACTCACCTGAGCCAGCCCTAACTACAAGCTTTATCAAAGAGGAACATCTTAAGCCTACTCTTAAATGTGGAGAGGGTGTCTGCCTCCCGAACCACAACTGGAAGCTGGTTCCACAGGAGAGGAGAGAACATTAGTCATAGGGCTACACTTTTTGTGTAGATTGTAATGTAGCTGGCTTACAGGATTTGTCTGGAGATTATGAAATGGGATATCTAACAGATATAGCTAATAGCTAATAGATAGCTAACAGATTAATGCTGTCTCTCTGTGTCACCAACAGAGCCATTCACATAGAGGCATTATAGAAGTACGTCTTTACAGTGGATACTGACTACTATACAGTATACTAAATACACTACTGCCTCTATGGAGAATGAAAAACATTTGGTGATAAATAAATATATAGTGAAATAAATATACATTTTAATTAACAATCAAATAAAAGCTGAAATAAATAATAAACATATTCTAATTAATAAGAATAAACTAATATTAATACAAATTAAAATACTAATACAAATATAAAAAAGCTAAAATTAACTAAAACTAGATAAATAGATCGATATTAAATGAGGAAATAGGTGGGCAGTACTAACCACACAATATAGGTAAAATACAAATTAACATTAATTCACATAAAGTTCATACCTTTATTTGTTGGTGTAATTATTAATTAATTAAACTCTGAATATAATTATTTCTGTATTTTTTTCGTTCATTTATGTATTAAGTTTTTACCCTGGATTTATTCTAGTTTTAATTTCTGATTTTTTTAATAAAAAAATATGTATTTATTTCTATTGTTATGTAAAATGTCATTAAAAAATATATTTAAACATGGGCACAACCGACAGCATCACAAAGCCTTGGGAAGAGATCAAAAACTCTCTCTCTGCCAAAACACAGACAATGACGAGCCGGTCCTGGAGAGTTGGGGTAAAGAACATTTTGAAAATGGATTTTTAAGATTTGTGATGGCCTCAATTTCATCATCTTCTAATGCTTTTTCATGCTTTTCTTCTCCTAAAATTCCTTTTTATGTTCACATTTTGCAGCTTCTTCTGCCTTCAGCCTCAATCTGATAAATAATCTGGTAAATAATTAGCTCTTCATGGCCATGTGTTTGGCCAAGAGAGTGATACACAACCACAATATATGGCAGCTCGTTGACCTGTAAACCGAAACAATGTCTGTTAAAATTAAAGAAATTAAAACCACCTACACACAGAGCAGACAAAAAAAACCATAATAAACATAATCCAAATCTTCTTTTTGAATATTTGTATGAATTACCAAAAGCAGCTCTCACCTTCAAAGTTTGTGTCTTGGAGGAGAAGACAGGAAGTTTGCAGGTCAACAGTGGACAACTGAAGGGAGCTTTTGTCTTCCAATCTTCTGCAGCACATTCCCACCCTGGTGTGTTTTCCTGTCCTAAGCAGAAAAACCACACACACACACACACACACACACACACACACACACACACACACACACACACACACACAATAGAAGTGACATTGACAAAGTAAACCGATAACCGATAGTTAACCGATAATTTTTACATTTTGGGATTTTAAAGAGAAGTTCATAACCTATAGTTTTTGACACAGGTGAGGGAAATAAAGTCTAAGATGTAGTGAGCAAAGATGGATGATTTAATATTCCATAGTTCTGACCTAACTCTGACATCACTATTGTTAAAAACAACAAAAAACAAATACTTCTGACAAATTTGTAATGTAACTGCTGAACAACAATTTACCTTAGGATAAATAAGGTTCTATCTGATCTTATCAAAGAGTGGGTTATTTTCTGTCTTACACTGTGTGAACATCAGTGATAAACCAGACAGTGGTGGGTGTCATCTGAACAAAACCGAGAGAATCAGTTGATTCAAAGCCTTTCACATGCACACAGTCCTGAACTTACTCTGAGCTATCTTGGCTAGGTGGAGCCGGTTCACCCAGGAGATCTTACAGATGGGGCTGGGAGTGTTGAAGACCACCATGATGCTCACTGGACGACCAGACCTGGGAAGAAAAAGTATAGTGGGCATAAAACCACACATACATTCATGCTCCTCTGCCTGGTAAAACCTGACTATGGTTGTACCTCACTGTTTTGAGCACGTCCTATATGAACTCCCTGGCACTCACTTGTCAGGTTTGCCTGGTACAGACAGGCGCAGGCGACACTTGTTGGCATTCTGGATCTCCTCCTCCTTCAAACGGATAAGCCTCTGCAGAGCCAAACACCAGTCCTGAGATACTGTGGTGTTCAGATTCTTACACAGCAACACAAGTGGGGAGAGGAAGGATGGACCTGTTAGACTGTTTTACTTTAACATCCTCTGAGAAAGATTGGGGGAAAAAAGTGTAAAGTGAGAGAAAAAGAGAAGTGTAGCAGACAGCTTTATCTGTGGCCACAAATTAAAGGGTGGTCTGGTTAAACACAACTTTGGTCTTATTTTGGTAGTTTTTAGCCATAATTCCCATCAGTTATGATATAGTTGCTTTAACAAAGTTAATTGGTGAGATCTGGGAACACGATGACATTCCTGTAAAGAAGTCTAAAGGCTAAAACACAGCGTAAAACATTTACAGAGACCCAACAGTACCACCATGAGCAAGCACTTGGCAATGGGGGCAAGGAAAAACTGCCTTTTAAGAGGCAGAAACCTAGGACAGACCCTTCGGCTCTAGGTGGGTGGTCGTCTGCCTCGACCAAGACAATACGTAAATGTCCGCCACAACTGAATTTTGTGCAAAGTTTCATGAGTTTTCAGGCATGTTTAGCCCCCCAAAATGTGATGTTAAAACAACAGGTGACAACACCAACAACTGACTGGATCTGTCATGTCTGTCTTGTGGATGTGTTCAGGGTTATCAGACACATGCATTATGGTGCAGATTGGACAAAATACACATTATTACAACTTTCTATTCATGGCAAAATGTCAAATCTTGCCGCCACGCCAGAGACACACCCTTCCATGAAAACTCACAAATAGCCGACCTTGAATCGTGACCAAATTTTAAGTCGATCTGATCAATTCCCTAGGAGGAGTTCGTTAAAATACGTGTGCAAATCGCAAGAAATTAAATTCAATTCAATTCAATTCAATTTTATTTGTATAGCGCCAATTCATAACAGAAGTTATCTCAGGACACTTTTCAGATAGAGCAGGTCTACACCGAACTCCTTATAACATTTACAGAGACCAAACGGTACCACCATGAGCAAGCACTTTGCGATGGAGGCAAGGAAAAACTGCCTTTTTAAGAGGCAGAAACCTAGGACAGACCCTTCGGCTCTAGGTGGGTGGTCGTCTGCCTCAACCAGAAATGACCGCTTAATCCACCCCAATGGGCGGCTGTGGCTCAGAGGCAGAGCGGGTCATCCCCTTATCAGAAGGTGGTTCAATCACAGCTCCTCCTGCCACATGTCAAAGTATCCTTGAGCAAGATACTGAACCCCAAATCCCGATGCACAGCAGTGTGAATGTGTATGTATAAGTTAGTTTTTGTTCGATGGACTTTGCCATCACTGTGTGAATATGGCACGTAGTGTAAAAGCGCTTTGAGTGGTCGGAACAAGTACAGGTCCATTTACCATTACCATGTAATAATAAGATACTAAATCAAAATTAAAACTGCAAGCTGTGATGAACAGGCCCTCGCACTTGGCGCGCGTCGGGGAGTGCTGCAGTATGCACCACATGCCAACATAACAGGAAAATGCCAAAAATGAAAATTTCACGCAAATCAGATCAAAAGCGCTGCGTTTCTTGAGTTTTCGAGCATGGGAAAGCCTCCAAAAACTTCCTAACGTCTGTGTTAGAACATGCTGCACTCATTGCATTCTGCTGGGGCAGACGTTAATAATCTGTTACCTGGTAGGTTCCATTGAGCGTGCCCACCAGCAGTGAGACCTCCTCCACCACAGCCAGATCATGCTGCAGCTCCTCTAGCTCCTGGTACAGTCTGGGAGGACCCAGGAACACTTTACCTGTAACAGTCACATTCAGTTTCTATATCATCAAAAGGGAAAAGCAAATGGTAAATGGACCTGTACTTGTATAGCGACTAGTATAGCAATATAGTATAGCGATCTCAGTTTGATTGGCTTTGCCATCACTGTGTGAATGTGGCATGTAGTGTAAAAGCGCTTTGAGTGGTCGGAAGACTAGAAAGGCAATATACAAGTACAGACCATTTAATTCGATTCAATTCAATTCAATTCAATTTTATTTGTATAGCGCCAATTCATAACAGAAGTTATCTCAGGACGCTTTTCAAATAGAGCAGGTCTAGACCGAACTCTTTATAACATTATTTAATATTTTTTCTAATATTCTTTATAACATTATTTACCATCGCGATACAGTGGTTACGATTCAATAAGGTGTGATATAAAAAAAAATCGAAAAACTGTTAAAGTACAAAAAAAGTAAAAAAAAAGAGTTAAAGCGTTTACTTTTTCATGTAACCAGAACACACTGTCAAAGAAAAAAATGGAGAAAACTCCAATATAATTAACTCATAATTTCAAATTAACTGTTTTCATTTAAGGTTTTAGCTTTAAGTCAAACTCAAACTCATATGTTTTGAAATAAATAATTATAATTTCTTCGTTAGAAAAGTTTTAGAAACAAAAAATGTGTGTATTTAAAAAATTGTTAAGAAAACTATTCAAGTGAAAAACAGTTCATAATTTAATATTTTCAGCTGCAACTATTTAATTTTCAAGGACCGAAATAACGAAAAATTTGGTTCGCTGTGAATAACTTTTGAAATGCAGATTTAAGTTTTTTGGGTTAAAGTTCTTCTAAAGAAGAAAAGTTAATTACCTCAACAAAATATTATTATTAGGTTGGCAAAATGTTTTAAAAATATTTAAATCAATATTTTTATCTAAAGAATTTGAGTTTGACTTAAACCATAAATATTAAGTGAAGACAGTTGCCTTTAAAATTAGTTTTTATAAAATTTGAGTTTCTAAACAGTTTTTTTTTTTTTTTTTTTTAAAGTACAAGTACAGTACAGTATAAAATTATTTACAGAGACCTAACAGTTCCCACCATGAGCAAGCACACGGTGACAGGTGAGCAACCATCTGCCTTGACGACATCGGGTTAGAAAGACAGGGTAGGGGGATGGGGAGTGAGGGGTGATTATAAACAATTTATGATCACCTTTTCATCACCTTTAATCCCCTCGGGGAGTATGCTTTGTATTCACTGTGTGTCAGTGTGTGTGTGAGTGATGGAGGTACCTGTAGTGCTGGAGGTGGAGCTCTGACGTCTGGCTGTCCTGCTTTGGAGACTGTCCTGTCCCACCTCCACCACCTGGGTCTGCAGCAGGGGGGCACACCACTTCACCATGTACTTAGGACCAACAAGAACCAGGCTGCTGATGTCAGGGGAACCCCTGGTGGACGAACATATTCTTAAATGTTAACTAAATGGTAATTGATAAATGGACTGTACTTATATAGCGCCTTTCTAGTCTTTCAACCACACTCGACCAACCATTCACACACATTCATACTGTGATGGCAGTGGCTGCGGAACGGAACGGAACAGAAACTAATTATTTATACACACTCATACACCAATGCACAGCATCAGGAGCAATTTGGGGTTTGTCTTGCTCAAGGACATATGCAACGAGAGGAGCTGGGGATTGATCCGCTAACCTTCCGATTAGTGGATGACCTGCTCTACCTCTGAGCCACAGCCGCCCACATGGCAGTTACAGTGTGCAAAAGTTGTGTGTTGACATCCTGCTGTCCAATCCTGTACCCACTGACTCCCACTGCCTATAACATGGTTATTCAGCATTACTACAGAGCCTGGTGGTTCCATAAGAACAGGACTCACTGCAGCTGAAGGATGTTTGGGAGCACTATCTGAGTAAATTCCACTCGCCAAAGATTGCTCTGTGATATATCACAATTCTGATGCTTACTGCTCCAAAAAGCAACAGCATTTCCACATTTATATTTTATTTAACAAAAAAACGTGTAAATTATGCAGATTTTGTTTGACATAGCCATTTTCACTTCACTTTTGACAGAGCAAAGCAGTTTCACCATGCTTCCAGTCCTAGTGCTGAGCTAGGCTAACCAATGTACTGTATTTGACCTACCTCTGTAAAGGACACTCCAAGATAAAACATCTGACAAAATGTTTGGTTGTTCCTTTCAAAGACAACTAGGACTCAAAATACAAACATTCATCTAATAATATAGTCATCGAATATCAGGTTTAACAAGCAAAGAAAACATGAAAGGAGACATTCTACATCTAAAACAGAGCAGCTTCAGGGTTTATGAGGTACTTACTTCAGGTTGACATTGGCACAAATCAGGGTGTCGTTGAGGAGAAAGACCTTTCGCTCCTTCGACTTGAGAACTTGACCTTTATCCCCATAAACAATTTCAGTCAGCAGTTCGCACTGAATCAGCTGCCTCTGCTCGGAGTTCAGCAGCTAGAAACACAAAGCAGTTCACTAATTATGGCAGATCCCTTCCTACACTCTCATTGAAATAATATATATTAGTAAATGAGCTTATATAGAGCCTCTTTGGAATGAATGACAGGGCTGTTCCAACTCAACTACAATTAATGGTTTATGATCTACAAATTGGCCAAATGCAGCCTGACCAGCCAGCATCAGTAATCAATACACACATTATTAAACCATTAATCAAACCAATAACTAACAGCTGTCAGAAAACCATATTATACTTTAGTGTTTCTGTAGTGGTGACAGAGCTTTACAAATATATTACAATCTCAGTCTCACACAACACAACTCATAGATTATTCAATTCAATTCAATTCAATTCAATTTTATTTGTATAGCGCCAATTCATAACAGAAGTTATCTCAGGACACTTTTCAAATAGAGCAGGTCTAGACCGAACTCTTTAACATTAATTACAGAGACCCAACAGTACCACCATGAGCAAGCACTTGGCGACAAGGGCAAGGAAAAACTGCCTGTTAAAAGGCAGAAACCTAGGACAGATCCTCCGGCTCTAGGTGGGTGGTCGTCTGTCTCGACCAGTTGGGGTGAAGAGAGAGAGAGAGAGAGAGAGAGAGAGAGAGAGAGAGAGAGAGAGAGGCAGAGAGAGAGAAGCGAGAGACAGACAGACAGACAGGTGCACAGCAACAACAGTATTGGCAATGGCAGTCAAGCAGGACCATGGCAGGAGGCTCCACCAGGATCCATGAGAACCTGCGAGACGAGAAAGCACAAGAACTCCGGGGAAGAAGTGGAGTTAGTAACATGCATTAATGGGACATGAATGAGTGCAGAAAGAGAGAGGAAGAGAGTAGCTCAGTGCACCATGGGAAATCCCCCGATAGTCTAGGCCTATAGCAGCATAACTAAGGGATGGTTCAGGACTCACCTGATCCAGCCCTAACTATAAGCTTTATCAAAGAGGAATGTCTTAAGCCTACTCTTGAATGTGGTGAGGGTGTCTGCCTCCCGAACCACAATTTTATTACAATTATATGCAAATTGTTTCTCAAGTGCATTATGTGTCACCTTGTGAAGGCTGCGGTCCCCAACGCTGTGTGCTAACTGCTGGATCTCAGCCTCCTGATCAGCAAGACGCTTCTGTTCATTGAGTTTCTCGGCCAGGGTCTCCAGCTCAGTAAGAGCCAGCTGCAGTGGCAGCCGGTCAGTGTGGGACTTTGGAGTGTTCTTCAACATGTCCTAATACAATGCAACAGCAACACAAGACAGAATGTTAACTCAACTAAAGGTGAGAGGAACCATAATAATCTACTGTTTTGACAGTATGAAATCACATCGAATCTGATCTTTTTCAATCCTGATTTGAGCCAATGTCATATGTGGTCCAATTCAGATTTTTTATCTTGATCTTCCAAACAGTTGTATCAGACACAAGCAATGATTTCCAATATCTGTAACTGTTAAGGATGGCAGAATAAGAGAATAACCATATGAATAATACTTGCTTGTCTTTGTTTTGTAATAGCAGGTGTTGAGGGGGAAGATTTAGAGCCATTTTTACCATGCAGGACGCACAATGCATTGCAGCAGACAGCAGTAACTGCCTTTTACTTCCTCTTGTTGGAAACTCCAACACAAAGTTTCGGGCCTTGAAATGGAACCATATATTCCACTCGACCGCACACCACATACTGCCCCTTTCTGAAAATTGTACATTTCCTGTTTGAAAACGCTAACAAGCTTCATAACCAGGGACAGCTCTAGTGATTTGCAGGTAAACAGACATGTAAGTAAGCAATCAGTTGTAACTCAATTTCAATGCCTATTTTTAAGATCCTCTCCAGACAAGTATTAAGTCATATATATACAAATAATCTGCTTGCAACAATTATTGTGTCTGATGTGGGTTTTTTCTGCAAAAAAGTATAATTTCCACATTAAAATCCTTAAAAATTTATATTTATATTTCTTTATAAAAAATTCCAGAATCTATGAATATGCAAATGTTGTTCATTTTTAAAGTTTTCTTGCTGGACACAAGATGTCTCCTACTTCACTGTAAAGCCCATTCTCAATTCTTATTTCAAATTATTATTATTATTAATAATCATTACTATTAAAAGCTGTACAATGAACCCAAACAGTGAACACAATAATTGCAGGATGTTTGTGTAAAATGAGAGATTTGGATGAATTGTGAGCAGATTAATTCCTGTAAATATTGATCAGATGAGTTTTCCTGATATTTCTACACAATTTTCTGAATGTATTTTGGTTTTTTTAAATCATTATTAAACAACATACTTATTAGGCTTTTGACAGATTTGACAGATGACTTAGGAAAGGTAAATTTATGATGATGAACATACAATTGCATATGATTAAACAACTTGAGACTGATGTGTGATCAGCGTGCCCTCACTGGTGTGTCGGTCACTCACCTGCAGCAGCAGAATGAACTGAGGAAAGCGTTGGATGGGTTTGACCATTAGGCCATACAGAGTGATTCTGTCTGGACTGGATGCCTGCTTCTTCTACAAGTCACACAGAGAGTAGATTCTGTTAGTATTTATTCTACAGGGAGTGCAGTTTGCTGTGCTTCACTGAAACGTGGCTAACGGCTAACGTCCCGGCCGTTAACGTTGAGTAGCTGTATACGTGAACACAAGGTGGTGTAACACTGGGCATGTCAACATCAAGATTTCCATCTGCAACAGGGACGTCGAACTGCTTGCGGTAGGGTTGTGACCCTTCTACTTGCCCAGAGAGTTTGGACACGCCATTGTGATTATTGTTTACAGCTATCATGGGCTGTATCAAGAGTGACCAAGAGGAGGAGTACAGGAAACTCATCCAGGACTTTGTCACGTGGTGTGACTCCAACCACCTGCGCCTCAACACCACCAAGACCAAGGAGATGGTGGTGGACCTCAGAAGGCCCAGGTCTCACCCGGAACCTGTAACCATCAACGGTGACCGTGTGGAGTCGGTACAGACTTACAAATACCTGGGAGTACACCCGGATGATAGGCTGGACTGGACTGCCAACACAGACGCCCTGTGCAGAAGAGGCCAGAGCCGATTATACCTCAGAAGGCTGGCGTCCTTCAACATCTGCAAAAAACTGCTGCAGGTGTTCTATTAGACTGTTGTGGCGAGCGCCCTCTTCTATGCAGTAGTGTGCTGGGGAGGCAGCTTTAAGAAGAAGGACGCCTCCCATCTGGACAAACTAGTGAGGAAGGCGGGCTCCATGTTTGGCACAGAGCTGGACAGCCTGACATCTGTGGCAGAGCGACGGGCGCTGAACAGGCTCCTGTCAATCATGGACAATCCACTGCATCCACTGCACAGCACCATCTACAGGCAGAGGAGCAGCTTCAGCAACAGGCTGCTGTCACTGTCCTGCGCCACTGAAAGACTGAGGAGATCATTCCTCCCCCACGCCATGAGGCTCTTCAACTCCACCCTCTACACCTCATGAAACCTGGCACACACGTCCCACATGGCAGCATTTTACATTTCAAATAGATGTTGCCTGTGGGTGTGTCAAAATGGCTTGATAGCACCCCCTACAAACTTTCAAAAAACCAGCTCTGGTGTCCTGTTTAGGGGACATGGATGAAATTTGAGATGCACATATATCAAGTTAGGACATACAAAAAAGCCTCTTGAATCCATGACCCAAACACAACAGGAAGTTGGCCATTTTCATTTTCACTTTCGGCGGCCATTTTCATTTTCATTTTCACTTTAGGCAAATTTTCGACTTGTATTTGAACGAACTCCTGCTAGAGAATTTATCGGATCTGCTTCAAAATTGGTCAGTACAGTCAAAATATGTTGCTGATTAAAAGTTGTGCGTTGAACTTCTGTCTGTGGCATGAGGTCAAAGTTGGCCTTTTTGAATTCTGTGGTCATACAAACTGATTGAAAAGTTGAGCTATTTGTGACTGTACATCAAACAGCGTGCAAGTGACAACTTGTCGATTTCAGCAGATTCGCCATAAAATAGTGCTCATAACTTCAGTGTGCAATGTCCAATCTGCAATAAACTTCAAATATTCTGTAATAGTCTCGCCCTGAACACGTCCTCATAACTTCAGCGTACGTGGTCCAATCTCAATGAAACTTCATGTTTGGTAACAGTCCCGCCTTGAACACGTCTACATGACAATATTCAGACATAGTGATAGCCCCACCTACTGGCAACAGAAAGTAAGCGCTGCGTGGCGATTCTGAGCTGATTAACGTGAAATTTTCATGCTTTGGTCGGCATGTGTAACGACTGCACGTGATGCAGCCGCAGCACACCCCGAGTTGCATGGAGTGCGAGGTCCCGTTCATCACTGCTTGCAGCTTTAATTATTATAAACTCCGGAGGTGACTGCATATTTGGGGTCGTAATATGCTCAAATGATCATGGAAATTTGCACAGAAGTATGCAATTGTCCCTGTGCATGGGCGCCACCAAATGGCGGAGCCCCGCCCCTCTGAATCCGTCCCCAAGACCTGTAAGGCCGACATGTATGAAAACTGGCACGCATGTGTATCGTGATAAAAGAAGCAGAAAAGCCTCTTGGACCCATACCTCAAACCCAACAGGAAGTTGGCCATTTCGGATTTTGTGGTAATTTCTGGCGATTTTCGCCATTGCACTGCATGCAGGTAATTTCTCGGATCGTATAACGTTTTATACTTTCATGTTCTACTCCTAGCAGGATGATCAGATCCATCTGAAATTTACTTATGAAATGCAAAACACATTGTTGATGACATGTGATGAATGTGGTGAGTGGGCGTGTTTGTGGCGTGGCGTCAAATTTTGATGTACTGCCAGAACACACAAGTTTGCTAGTGTGAGTGTACATTGTCCATTCGGCTCCAAACTTCACTTGTCTGATGAGAGTCCCTCCCTGAACTCATCTATGTGATAATATTCACTAATAGTGAGAGCGCCACCTAGTGGTGGAATTTATTACACTTAAATGTATTTCTCCCAGCAGATTGAACACATCTAGCTGAAATTTGGTCAGAAAACCCTTAGAATGTTGACAATGACATCTTACGATCTTATGAATTTTTATTGAACCGTGTTGCCGTAGCTGTAGGCTCTACACCTCATGAAACCTGGCACACACATCCCACATGGCAGCATTTTACATTTCAAATAGATGTTGCCTGTGGGTGTGTCAAAATGGCTTGATAGCACCCCCTACAAACTTTCAAAATACCAGCCCTGGTGTCCTGTTTAGGGGACATGGATGGTTGAACGGCGTGTCTGTGGCGTGAGGTCAAAGTTGGCCTTTTTGAATTCTGTGGTCATACAAACTGATTGAAAAGTTGAGCTATTTGTGACTGTACATCAAACAGCGTGCCAGTGACAACTTGTCGATTTCAGCAGATTCGCCATAAAATAGTGCTCATAACTTCAGTGTGCCATGTCCAATCTCCAATAAACTTCATATATTCTTAAACAGTTTTGCCCTGAACACGTCTTCATAACTTCCGCGTACGTGGTCCAATCTCAGTGAAACTTCACGTGTTTGATAACACTCTCGCCTTGAATATGTCTACATGACAACATTCAGACATAGTGACTATTACTGGCAACAGGAAGTAAGCACTGTGTGGCAATTTTGAGCTAATTTACGTGAGATTTTCATGTTGTGGTCCGCACATGTTACGACGGCACGTGACGCGGCCGCAGCACTCCCCGAGTTGCATGGAGTGCGAGGTCCCGCTCAACGCTGCATGCAGCTTTAATTATTATTACTATTGTTATTACTACAGATACTATTATTACTATAGTCACTGCTCATTGTCCCCCATCATTGTTGTCGTCTTCATCATCATCTTCTTCATGTTTATGTTGTCCTCACTGCAGTGTAGCAACTGCAGCTATACAACTAGCTAAACTCTTCCTCTCAAATGAAGACTTGAGTCGTAGTAAGCTTTAGTTGCTCTTTACTGTGGCTCTTTCTCTCATTTTACAAGGTCAGAGTGAAAACTGTAACAAAGACAAATATAAAAATTACCATTCAGCTCTGTAACATGTGCTTTTCTCATGTAAATAAGTGTAAATAAAACGTTTTTAAATACAAATAAATCAAATGCCTTCTTCATGTAAATAATATTTTTACCACTAACTTATGAATATAACTATGAAATTATTCACTTACGACGTTGCCTCTGTGGCGTTTACAGTGTTGAATACATGCAGTTGAACACAGAAATGTAGCTGTGTAAATCCAGCTAGCCTCCTCAAACTACTGATCAAAACAACCTGAGAACCAGGAACTTTCCGGCGAGACAAAAGCCCTTCAAAATAAGAGTCTCTTCAAAATAAAAGTTCATTTGAATTTATGCCTGAAAGACAACACACTCCCCGTCTGACCTCTGTGAGGTCATTAATTGACCCCTATGAATTATATGAGTGTCTGTACATCAGTCTTTAGTAATAAGTAGGACAACTTCTGAGACTGGCCTGAAGAAGGTTTTTGAATGTCCCTGATCTGTGGTCCTCAATTCCACCTTCCTCACCCTTCCGTCTTCTCCAGGGAAGGCCTCTGTGATCATAGCCATGGGCCAGTTGTTGCGGGTAGCTTGACTGTGTTTGAGAAGGACGATATCTCCTACTTGCAGGTTTTGGTGGGATTTGGTCCATTTCTTGCGACACTGCAAGGTTGGCAAATACTCTCGACTCCAACGATTCCAGAATTTGTTGGCAAGAGCTTGTACTTGTCTCCACTGCTTGGTGAGGAGATCTTTATCTGTGAATTCTCCTGGTGGAGGTGGAACTCCAGTTTTTTGGGTTAGGAGCATTGATGGTGACAGAATGAATGGATCTTCAGGATCGTTTGAAACTGGAACTAGTGGCCTTGCATTTATAATAGCGGTCACTTCTGCCATTAGCGTGCACAAAACCTCGTGGGTCAACCGAGTGTGCTGTTCGAGAAACATTGAGTCCAGGATTCTTCGGGCCACCCCAATTAGTCTTTCCCAAGAACCACCCATGTGTGAGGCGTGTGGGGGGTTGAATTCCCATGAGCACCCTTGTTGGTTTAGATACCTCTGCACAGTGGCGTCTGGTTGGTTTTTTGTCATTCCCAGTTCCCTGCATGCTCCTATGAAGTTTGTGCCGCAGTCAGATAGTAGTTGTTTGGCAGGTCCTCTTATGGCAAAGAGACGCCTTAAAGCATTAATACAGCTTGAAGTGTCCATTGACTCAATGACCTCGATGTGGACAGCTCTGGAACTCATACAGCAGAACAATATGGCCCACCGCTTGCTCTCAGCTTGTCCTCCTCTTGTTCGTCTGGTGGTAATGCACCAGGGTCCAAAGACATCCAATCCCACGTATGTGAAGGGAGGGCAGGTTTGGAGGCGTTCTGGAGGCAAATTTGCCATGCGTTGCTCTTGCATTTTGCCTCTTAGTTTGCGACAGGTTATACATTTGTGTAAGACTGAGTTGATGAGCCTTTTTCCTCCCAGGAGCCATAGTCCCGCTGCTCTGACAGCTCCTTCCGTCAGGTGA